AATTTGTCATAAATAACTTAAATGGTTAAAAGCAATTACTCGGACTCATCAATGCCTCGATCATTGTTCTCGAGTCCAAACGATTCTGATGTCAGTATTGATATCAATGATGACGACGAAGACGTGTCTCAACCACTAAAACGTGAACCCCTTTCGTCACCACTAATACATCCAAACGATTCAATCAATAGTCATAAACCATCGAAACTATCCTTCAGTATAAACCGGTTATTGGGAGCCAATAGTGATTCAAATAAACCCAATCAAAGCCGTACCACATCTGACGGGGGGTCTGAATCGCCGCCATTCCTATGCCCTCAGTATTCCTCTTCAACTGAAAACAATGCAACCATTGCTTCGTATCCCTCGTCAACATCTCCAGAATCCAAATGCCAGTCCCATCGCTTGAATGTCAGTCCATACAACCAGTTGACTGGTCACACTTCGGTGATGCCGGTGCCCGCACACAGACCACTCACTATGCCTTACGCCACGCACTACCCCTGGTTAGGACCAACTGCTCCCACAATGATTAAGGATGGTTTACAAAGTAAGTCATATAAGTGTTCAAACAATATACAGTATAAACTTATTACAGACCACTCACTATGCCTTACGCCACGCACTACCCCTGGTTAGGACCAACTGCTCCCACAATGATTAAGGATGGTTTACAAAGTAAGTCATATAAGTGTTCAAACAATATACAGTATAAACTTATATAACATTTTACATAAACTGACCAGAACAGTACATTTAGACAATACAAATTTAAATACTTTTGTCAAATATTTTATTAGAAATGAAATTATTAGAATTCATTCATAATTTTTATACAAAATAAACAATCTTTCAAATGTAATAATTTCTTATATAAGAATAGATATACAGTGAGCGCCTAAATACAGTATTTAGTTTTATGTGTTAATGCTGTCTATTAATGTGAGTTTATATGAATACAAACAGAGCTAAAGTTGTCATCGATTAGCAATGTTTGCAATAATAACAACTCGTGTTCGGCGCCTAATAATAGTAATAGTAGTGTGAGTGCCGGTGCGGCACTGAATAAGCCTCGAAAAAAGCGATCCCGAGCCGCCTTCTCTCACTCACAGGTCTATGAATTGGAGCGAAGATTCTCTCATCAGAGATATCTCAGCGGTCCTGAGAGGGCTGATCTCGCACAGGGTATGCCTGAAATCATCTCACTATTGCCTATCAATTAGATTATTTTGTCACCAATTTATTAATTAACTATTCAAATGCTTTTTAGCTCTTAAACTGACTGAAACTCAGGTCAAGATTTGGTGAGTTCTTTGATTATTGTATACATTGTAGTCATCTTTTATAGAATAAATAACATTCAAAGTATGCATTAATTGGATGATATGTCTCATTATAAAAAGGTTTCAAAACAGAAGATATAAAACAAAACGCAAACAATTACAGCACGAGTTGATGATACAGGCGGGCAGTGCAGCCCTACATATGCTGCCCAACACATCCCCTTCCAGTCCTGCACTCAATTCCTCGTCAAACAGTAGGAAAGTGGCCGTAAAAGTACTGATGAAAGACGATCAGCTTATGTATGGGTCGGATGACATCAATTTCTTAAAGCCAGCCATATATCCCTTTATATACCCACCCTGGATCTTCGGGTGCTCCCAGTGATTAGCCAACTCAACCTCCGTGTAAATTAAATGTTTTTTAATTTTGGTTTCAAATAAGCAGCACTTCATAGTTAGAGACATACTGTATATTATAATTGATGGCAAAAGTAATTTTTGAGAGAAAGAGAGAGAGAGAGAGAGAGAGAGAGAGAGAGAGAGACGCTGTCTTTGCAACTGATATGGGGATCGATTCCAACACTTGCTTAACAGCTCGTGGGGAATGGCGTTGACATGAATGCCATTACACGCAGTCAGCGCTGAAAGAAGTGTACATCTGAACAGACATACAGACGGTTCACTTTCTGTTGGACTGTCGTCGACAGTCTCTGGACTGACATTCACTTCACTCACATCCCTATCCCATCGCTATTTAAAGGCAACTCAATCACGACAGACAAACAATCAGCACTTCTGACAATTAATTCTGAAGAGACTCTAAAATGTCATTTCAATGAGTTTTCTCTAAATTCAATACATCTCTAATTGAATGCATTGAATGCGAGGACTGCCCGTTGTTTACATTTTGTAAGCTATTTGCAATCAATTCATTATAATGGTCACAATTGTTGTTCAAATTAATTCTCATTCATATCAATTTTATATGAAATTAGACTTTAATTATTATGACAAGTATTACTTCATATTCACTGTAATTAATAATATAACTGATGTTTAAATTGATTCAATCTATTAATAGTATACTTAAAATTTAAAAAGTTTTATTGAATTAATGATCAAAAAGTGTAGAGAGTGTGAACTATAATGTAAATATTAATATGAAACTAGAATCTGAAATCTTGTAATTATCACATATAAAATATTTGAGAAATATTTTTATTTATTTGACTTGATAAGAAATCTTAATCGAATCTCACGTTATTTGAATTTGAATGAGATATTCATTTGAATAATTCAGAAATAACTCATACGATTATATGGCATAAAATTGAGATAAAATGAATGCCAATATTATATGTCCTATAAGTTGATTAATTATAGTGTTAATAGCAATCTGACAGTTGAACTCATATTATGAGATACACTGCTGTCAGAAGCACTGGAATCATAGCATATCTCGAAACTTAAATTATATATATATTTGTATTCATAAATATTTTCCTCTTTTGATATGAGTTTGAATAACGAAACCAAATGTGTTTCTCAAATAAACACGAATGAAGTTTCATTCATTCATTTATGTAATTGTATTCCTAATGATATTAAAAGTATTTCTAAGTTTCATGAAAATCTAAAAACACATTTATTTCACTGCAATACTTGTCCAAAGTATTTGAAGCAAATTCATTGAAATTGAGATTTAAGTCGTTGTCACAGAACTGGCACTTGAATCGTATGTTTTATTTATTATTGTTAGTCATCATCAGTTGCATACACTGTATAGTGTACGGCACCGACACGCGTCTCACCCTATTATGAACACAATTACCCATAAGAATAGAGTTTTATGTATAATATGATTAATTTGAGTAAAAACGAGCCAATTCTGGTTATAGCCTTTTCACACAAAAGACAGGTATATATTGATAATGGATTACGGATTGGACACACAATAGCACACAATAGCTTACAATAGCTATAATATTATATAAGTTCTGTACGAATAGAGCATATTGTATGCCATTAGCGGATTAGGCTTTTATTGCAAATTGCTTTTGCATCGGATTTGTCACTCAATTTGAATGCAGTCACCAATACTTCAAGAATACATGCAATGCTTTATCTTTTAATACTTGAGTATAATTTCTAATTCACTTCTACTCTACTCTACTCTATGCTATACTGCTATACTTAGGTCTGATTTACTCTACTCTATACTCATATTCTAATCAAAGTGTCGTTTATTTTGAGTAATACTTTACAGAAATATTTAAATAAAGAAAACGCTTTCACCCATTAACATTCATTTAATAACAGATTATATTTTTAAATAATTGTAATGTCGCAAGTAAACCAATATTAGTTAAGATAATTAAAATTTTTTCATTTATGCATTCTGTTGATTAATTCAATTATTAAAACTGTAACAAAATTAAATTTAAAATATTATAAATTTAAATAAAAATATGAATAAATAATTAAAATTTGTCGATTAATGTTTTCCAATATACAATTTTATCCCAAAAATAATATGTTAAACATTAGGAATAATCTTTAATATTTACACGGTATCAATAGCACCTATGACTTAATGACTTAATTATAATTATTATATTAAATTATAAAAATGTTAATTAAATAAAAATGTGTAATATATTTGAAATTATAATTATAATATAAAGAGATAGTTTGCAAAATGTATGTAATTTCATCCAACCCTTTGAGTGCTTCAATTTTGTACAAATAATATCAAATTTATTGACAAATAGTTTTGAGAATCATTTGGTTTTTGTAAAACCAAAGCATTTCTGTAATAATAGTGTTTACAAGTAGTGAACGAAAGGCTAATGTGAGTGGAAGTGAGCGTAAACTAAGCCCCTGTGGCTCGACATCTAACCGGACCTCCCGTTATGTTCGGTCAGTAAATCATCAGCGGATGAGCGCTGCACTGAGGCCTGGATTTTGTACCAAAAAACAGACATCTATTTTGTCTCACAAATTGATTAAAGAGTGCAAAAGTGTCTGAAAATGTATAAAAACGCGTGAAGACGAGAATCGCAAGAAATGTACGATTAGTTGTTAATTAGTTTAAAGTATGGCAAACATAACGCATACGGAGACTACTGTTAGTGCAGTGTTTGTGACAATAACTGAATAATTAGTAACAAAGTATTGACTCTAATCTGCAACATATCATATAATAACTAATTGAAAGTAAAGAGAGTAAGATTTGGTACTTTAAGTCACTAAAAATGTCATCATTTGACTGTAGAGTAATCCTTGACTTCCTCTGAGGGCCACAAGTTGTGGCAGTTGTGCCCTAACTGTGCTCTCAGTCTAACAAATTATACAGTAGTTTAAGCAAACTGTAAGCACATCCAGTGGCAAATTGCAGCCAAAATAAGTCACCCTATAATGCACTACACTTTGCATTATAAGCACAGGAAAGGAAAGTCACTCAACAAACTTTGCCTTACTTTCTATCATACCATTAGTCCAACATATTATGTGCTAAACATATCGTACCATCGGGTGCTCATTAATTACAGACAACACCAGTTTAAAGTCAATCTGCAAATCATAATTAAACAACATCTTTATATTTCAATTAATATTTCATATCATTTCATCATTAATTCAATTTAGGAATAGAGATGACCACAAGAGGGGAGAGAGAGAGAGAGAGAGAGAGAGAGAGAGAGGTGTTTAGCCAAAAGCATAGTAACAAGGCACAAGGCTTTGGTCTTTTCAAAAATGTTAATATAAATTGTGTAAAAGTTAGCGTTTATTTGCAAATGAAACCCAAGAGTCGTCAGTAAATATTAGTGAAGAGAGCACTCGTTTGAATCGATTAAACAGAGAGTGTTTTGGCGATAATTGAGACGCGAGTCCACTATTGACTAGTGAAGTGCAAAACATATCATACTTTTTGTCTATTTTCACATAATTTGAAAGCATATTTTAAAATTTGGTGATAATATTGCTACCAAAGACTTGACACTACTTTTAAGATATATTTTAAATTAATAACAGAGACAACAGTGGACTGACAGACAGGGATTGCAGGAAAAAAGCAAAAACTGTATTCTAATGAAACATAAATTGCATTTAACGACAAAATGAGATATTAGTAAAGCTATCGGTTAATGGATTTGCAACAGAATGCCAGACACTGGAGACACTACCTTAGAGTGAAAAGTGACGGAATATATCATATAAGTGACCCCCTTATCAATCATAACCAGTAATACTCCACCCAATGCTAACTAATGCTAAATAAGAAACGTTACATTCAATTTGGATTGCATTCACTTGTAATTAACGCAATCACTCACGCGATCGCAACATTTTTTACTATATTATGAAATATAAGTTACAGCACTATATCAATGCACTGCACTAATAATGGTATCACTTGTAAAAATAGTGTCTATAATATGACAATTTGCTTGCGGAATGTGGTTTTAAATGACAACTTCTCTAAATCAATACTCAATGATATAACCATTGTTTGCACCAATAATTTATATGCGATTGCTTTTGACACCAATAAGTGCATCACTCATTCGTTACAATCAGTAATTAATAAAATAAATGATTTTTCTATTAATTGAATCTAAAGAATGATAACTCATTCTGAAATTCAAACTTTATTATCAGACCATCAGTTAATTTTGAAATAATAAAATAAAGTTTTTAAGGTGTGATTGACTATCGTATCACGCAATGCAACATTTTTTCAACAAACACTCCAATAAATAGTATAAATTGAACAATAAAATGGTGTCATTTTACTCACACTTCTTACTGAAAGAACTTTAATTCAAAAATAAAATAAAGTAAAAACGCCAACCTTATAAATGAATACTATATAATATATAGTATATATAAATTAATTAAATAAAAGATTTTACAGAAATATTTTAATTTAATAATTTTTGATGCTTATCATCGTTTGAAGTGATTTATTTTTAATAATTTACGAACGAATTGATTTGAGTATTTAATAAAATTAAACAAAGATAAGAATATTATTTGTTAAATATTTTAAATTTATTTTGTTAAAATAATATTGATTTTTGTCAACATTTTAGCAAAAGATTAAAATCATTTTTATATTGAATAATATGGGGAATAGACTGCAGTTTCTATAATACTAGTACAGAATAAGTGCACTATTAATATATAAAAAGGTGTGTATATTTTATATTGTATTGTATGGAGTGTTTGCATTATTTAATTGTTTTAATGCATTTTATGATTTTTGGACCACAAAACACTTGAATATATTATATTCCTATATTTAAGAGAAATTTTCAATTAAAATAATCGTTTGGGTTAGAAATGCACTTTAAATAAATTTGTTTGATTGAAACAATAGTA